TGGTTCGCTGGCAGAGATAATAGTCGTACAGCGTCATTATTTGTTGCTGCTGGATAAGCAGCTGGTACTGATCGTTTAGCGGTATTGGTCGCTTTGGATAAGCGTGATCCATGTGATCGGGTCTGAACATAACTGTCATGGGAGTCGTTGTGGGAGTCAGAGTAGTGTTGATTGTCATGGTCGTATTGGCATTCTTCGCTGGTGGCTGTGGCTGTTGGTGTTGACTTTGCTGTGGCACGCTGCTAGGGCGACCTGACAAATGCGTTAAGTCTCAGATCGACGAGTTGAACTGGTTGTAAAGCTTAATGTCCTTCATCTCCATTTCGCCGGGCCGGGACTTGTGGTAGGTATAAATGTGCGTCATGAGCGAGTTGCGTGAGCAGTAGACACGCTCGCAGATGGCACAACGGTATTCCTCTTGGCGCACGGCGTGCTTATCGGCAATGTGGCGCTTGAGCGAGGCTTTCGAGCAAAGGAGCTTACCGCAGAGCTGGCATGAGAAGAGTTTCTTGGGCGAGTTTCCTGCAAATTGGTGGATTGGTGGATTTGGATTTGGTATGGTTGGTATTTTGTTGGTACTAGTGCTCGAATAGTTTGATTGGTTTGGGTTGGGGCTTTATCCTAACTACGGAAAATGGCCGAAATTTTACTTTTCAATCGAGTGTCGTTTGGTGCTCACACGAAAGATTTCACAGTTTCGTCTGACCATTCTTACGCTAGGGGGAACTGAAATGCATGAATAGGCACCGAACAGAGCAGTAGGCAACTCCCGGTATGTGATCGAGTTTCTGGATTGGTAATGGCAAAGGACATACATCATTAACATAACATATAGATACATAAACAAATTAAAAGTATAGATATATTTCTCGTCCAGTCACTGCACCACCTTCTTCTCCACCTGTGGAGCGTAATGGGGTGAGCGAAGTGGAGTGTAGTGGTGCACCACCACCACTGGCGACTGGTAGTGGCCGGCCCGTGTTATCAACTAACAGTAAACAATTACAGTTACGACTAGCGTTATCGGTTATCAGTGATCTTGTGGTAGTGGGTTGTGGGTGTAAGGTCGTGGGGCTTGTATTGGATTAATGTAGCAATCTGGTGTTAGGCCTCGATGAACAACTTGAGACACAGAGCGATCATGGCAATGTTAGGTGATATGTACGCTCGATGGGCTTATGAAGAAAAACAGAGTGGAGTGCAGTGAATAAGTGGTCCCACCACCAGACACTCACACAGATTGCGTGGACACAACTTTTGGCACAGGTTTGAAAATCGGGGTCGGGGAGAAGTGAGATTAGTATAAGAATCGAGTGCCCCAAATTCCATTTCGGTCACCCAGGGACAAACACAGGGACATTGGCAGGATATCCAGGGAGGGCAAGAAATTCTCGGCACGCAAAAAATTCACTTATATACATTCTATTTTATTAAATAATAACACGATATCAGTTTGTTTTTAATTATGAAAATACTTCGTTTTCCTACTGTCTGTTTGAGTGTGTGAATGTGTCTGCGTTGCGCTTTTTATGTGTCTTTCATTCGACTGATTTTAATGAACTTGTATTCCGATTTACGTATAACAAAATTAGCGGGTATTTCTCTTTTTTTCGGTTCGGTTCGGATTTGTTTGTTTTGGTTATGGTTTTGCTTTTCTTAGAGCTGCTTGTTGACATTTACAAAAACACACCAACTTATTAGTTATTCAAATTTTTTAATTTGCTTTGCATATATATGTGTGAGGGTCTTTTTTATCGGCTTGCCGTTTGGATTAGTTCTAGTGCTGACACCTTGCTTATATACAAGTTTAAATAGAGAAGACAAAAATTTACATTTCTTACTAGGCTAGATTGGAAAACTTAATAGTTTTTATTGTAGTTTGAGTTAGAGTTGAGTTTTTGGGAAAAACAATTCGAAAGTCTCGTTTAGTGGTCGCCAAAGGAATCTTCTGTCTGTTACTTTTGTTTTCTTACTGATGCTGCTTTTTGACATGGCGGGATCTTCGATCTGCCTTGATTTCCGTGTGATTGTGATTGTGGTTATGGATATTGGTATGGGTAATATTTCTACAGTTATAAGTATGCAAGCGTCTGTGTACGAGTTTTTGCAACTATATGAGATATTTTATTGTATTTTCTTGCCTTTGATTCTGGCCAAGCGGCACAAAGAGAGGAATGGAGCTGATTAGATTGATTTGGACCAGTAAGGTGGTCCTTTACTCTTCTCTTTGCTCAGTTCCTCAATCAACACCATCTGGGTTTTTTTCTATGAATATTCTATTGAGTTTGGGGGTAAGCCGTCACTTCTGCCTGCTTCCTCGGATTAGCTATTTTACTTATGTATGAATATCCATGTAGTTACTGCACTGATACTGTAGTTTAGTTTATTTCTTAAATATCGCGTATTGTAATTGTAATTGTAGTTGTTAATGTAATTGTAAGCTTTACGTGGCTTGGAGCTAATGGTTCATTGGGTAATACGGTAATAGAGTTCAGCATGCATACATTCACTTAACTGGCAAAGGTATATGAAAGTTTCGCGGTTAGGGGAGGGGTAGGAATATCTCTACGAATGGTAAAATAATTCTCATAACACACGTATTAAGCAGGCGAACCTACGGTTGATAGTTCGTTATTAAATCGGTTTTCTTGCGTTCGGTTTTGCGTTTTTGGTATTTCGGTATTCTGTTTGGGTTTCTCGATTATAGAGATCTTACTGTTGTTATTTCGAATATTAATATGCTATTTAGTTAGTTAGTAGTTGGTTAGCTCCTCAGTTTAGTTAGTTGAGTTTATCCTGCGTTCTGTACTCACTTGATGTACCTATTCGTACACACTGGGGTTTGTGAATTGTTTTCTGCCATGTCTTTTTTAGTAGTACATAATTTAAGTAATCAACATTTATAGTGAAAAGCGCGACATCTCCACGTCTTCGAACTGCTATGTGACTCTTAATTCTCATAAGTCTGGATTTACATTCCCATATTTATTGAACATAATAATAACGAGGTGACATTTGGGGTAAGGTCGGAGAGCTAAGTACAGCACTCGGATATTCTACATATGGCATTGCAGCTGGGGATTGGCGATTGCTGATCGCGTGGGAGTAACAAACCGAAGATTCTCCTTATAGGTATATACATTTACAGTTACAGTTATGGGTTAACTTGTACGATAAACTTATTATAGTCGTATATGAATAAGCTACATTTATCGAAATTTGGTATCAAAACGTGGGTGATTTAACTTAATAAACTTTTCAGACTTTTCGTTTGCCAAAAGAAGCGAGAAAAAATACAATGGGAAAAAAGCATTTTCGCCATGCGCCTAAAGTATGCTTGGGTGAGTTACACTAATTGTTAATTATAATAGGTTGTATAAAAAATACAATTCGACTATACTCGCACACGACGTTCTAACGCTATCGTTTTGGAAAGATATCCACCTAGGTCTGACTTTTAACTAAGGCTCGTGCTTCCCTTCTAGCGCTATCCTTCCTATCGCTTTCGATAACCCCAGCGAAATTTCATGCTCCTAAAAATAATATCGTTCTCTACGGTTCCTCTGCCTGACTTTTTTTGCGGATTCTATTCCTTGCCCCTTCCAAAGTTTACATCAAATGATCAGTCTTTAAATTAAGGTAAAGTGTGCTGGAAGCAAAGTAAACCATCTATATCTGGTCGCTAATTTTGATTATACATTAAGAGTCCCAAATTTACCAATTGGAAAGCATAATTAGTTGCAACCTATCAACTGAGGACCAACAATTTAATTGTTCGAAGTTCAGTTATCAGCCAACGTTTATCGCTGAGCGATCAGCTCGCCGGCCTTCGGCAGAGTTTAAAACTAGTCAGTCCTTTTCCCATGACAAGCGAGACGACAGCTTCGGAACGCGCTCGAACCCTTTTCTTCCTTGTACTCTACTAATCTTTATCACACCGCCTCTTTATCTCCCCCTCAGTGCTATTTCCACCTATATACAATCTTAGATCCGCCCGTCCTACATCTCAAAATTGATTTATGGTTTTGCTGTGTATGCGTTATGCTGAGTGATAGTCTTAGTTATATTCATATCATATTTGTATTTATAGTTATACATGTACAAATGTATAGTTGTGTGTGTTTTCCTAAGGGCAACGCTTGTAATTGTAGATAAGTAAAAAAAAATCGTATAACCCACACATTTACTTAAGGCTAGGTTTACATAGTTGTGGTTTTTACATTAACCTTGCTACTCATTTTATGAATATTTAAATGTACACATATGTATGCTGTATATATATATATATTTTATATATATCTGATATCTTACAATGATACACAAAAAAAATGCATTAGTTGTATGTTCTGTTATTCATAGGTAAACAATGGTGTTGAAAAAATGCTTATGCGACGAAGATCGAATAGTTAGATGCTGTACAGATATGGGGAAGAGTTAGACATGGCGCATTGCACATTAGTTCAGTGATTTAGATTTTTATTCTGTGTGATTCCCGGTTGCATCCACATTCAAAACGATAGGCGGATTCGGTTCGGATTAAGTTTTAAGTGGCATGGCGATGGCGTCTTGCGCTTTTGCTGGTAATACTAAGGGGTATGTGTTCAATGGGGTAAGTCGTGTGTACGTTTGGGTGGCATGGTTTACAGTCTTCTATCCTGTGCTCCAAGCTTGCATTAGAGCTCCGCTTTTTTTATTCTAGCTATTCGCATCAAAATTTGGGATGGTGGAAAAAAAATTCTTATACGTATACTTGTTCTGTCCAGATTCCGAGTCCGATTCCGATTTCAGCGCAATCTGATTGGGTGTGTGCGTGTGTGTATATGTATGTATATAGCTTTATCATAAAAGACTTTTGTTTTTGCTTGCTTTATAATCAAGTCGTAAATAATCACAGTTTTCCATTTGCCTAAAAATGTTTTTGTCTTCCTTCCCTTTCCTTTCCTTTCCTTTCCTTTCCTTTCCTTTCCTTTCCTTTCCTTTCCTTTCCTTTCCTTTCCTTTCCTTTCCTTTCCTTTCCTTTCCTTTCCTTTCCTTTCCTTTCCTTTCCTTTCCTCTCCTCGCTTTCGCTTTCTTGTTTATCATTGCTTCGTCTCGATGTTTGCCAATGTATTTTAGTTTCGTTTTTGTTCTGCCCGAAAAAGTCTTTGAATTTTCCGTTCTGTGAGATCCGAAATATACACGGTTATGTGATAGCATTCCTGTTCTTATAGTAATCCTTTCGTTCGTTCGGTCGGTTCTCTTATGCTCCTCCTCCTTCTACTCCTCTTTCTCCTCCTTTTCCTCCGTCTCTGTCTCTGTCTCCTTCTCCTCTTCCTCATTCTCCAATTGTGTGCGTGTGTGTGGTGCCCGATCGTCGTGCCTGATTTTTGTAGCATACTTTCCTGCGCATCGCTTATTGGTCTAGTAAATTCATTCGTTCATATGGATGCTGATGGGGATGCGGATGCGGATGGGGATGCTGGTGCCCAAGCTGGTGGGGATGCTGGTGGGACAGTGAGTGCTGGTGGGAGAGGTGGTGCGGCAGGTGGTGTTGTAGGGCGGCAGCGGAGAACCCTCCGCCTCCCGCCGAGTGCTCGAGCTGGGTGAGATCGACGGTGGGCGTGCCACTGGGCCCCTGTACCCCGTACTCCTGAACGCCGCCCATTCCCTCCGGCCCAGCTGCTCCCCCAGGGCCCGATCCCGCCGCAGCTGCTGCTGCTGCAGCCGCCGCTGCCGCCGCGGAGTTGTTGAGCGCCACGTGGAACAGCTGCTGCAAGAGTTGCTGTTGATCTTATAAGAAGTCCATGCACGGCTTGACAATGCCCGGCGACGACTGTTGCTGCTGCTGCTGGTGCGCCGCAGCCAGCTGGAGCGTGGAGCTGGCCGTCCCTCCGGCCACGGCCGCGGCGCCAACAATCGGCGAGAGTAGCAGTTCGGCGGCCGCAGCTGCTGCCGCCGCGGCAGCGGCCACTGCATTGCCCCCCGCTCCACCAGCGCCTCCACCCACATTTACGCTGTTGTTGGCCGCCGCCGCTGCGGCGCTTAGCGAGCTAAGTGACTGATGGAGTCGACTGCCCGGACTGCCCGCCTGGCCCACGCTGGCCCCGTGGTGGAAGTACGAGTGGTGGTTCTTCTGGCGGCGATGGTAGATGCTCTTGTGGTTGTTCAGCGAGTTGAGCGTGCGAAAGACCTTGTGGCACAGGTTGCACACGGCGTTGTTCAGCGGCTGCAAGTGCTGCTGCTCCTTGTGGCGCTTCAGCGTGAGTTTGGTGCTCAGCAGCTTTCCGCACACGTCGCACCGGTGGCAGGCGTTGAGCGGCAGGGGCAGCAGGAGCCGGTTGGCCTGCGCCACGTCCTGGGCGCGCACCGAAGAGAGAAGGCTGCCGCCCGCTCCTCCTGAGCCCCGTCCACCTCCGCCGCTGGCCCCGGTCACGGCGCCCGAGGGCGAGAGCGAGGCCCGTCTGTGGTGCAACAGGTGGTGGCGCTCCAACGGCGATCCAGCGCGGGCCATGGCATGCGCATGGGCGTGGGCGTGGTGGGCGGCGGCGGCGCTCAGCTCGTGATGGGTGGCGTGGAGCTGGTGGTGGCTCGGCAGCAGCGACAACGGATGCTGGCCGAAGTGCGAGTGGTGCGAGGGCGGCGGCGGTGGTGGCGGAGAAGCCGGCGATCCTGTGCCGCCCGGTCCTTCCAGGTCCCGCTCGTGGTCAAACGATCGTCCCCGCTCCCGCTCGCGTTCGCGCTCCCTCTCGCGCTTGTGGTAAGCGGTGGGCGAAGGCGAGGGCGTGGCACTGTGACCGCCTGCCTCCGCAATGCCCTGCGAGGAGCGTGACAGGCTTCGCTCGCTGCCCGCCGCAATGTGCAGGTCGCTGGACTTGCTGCTCCCGCCACCCGCCTGCTTCAGTTGGTCCTGCTTCAGTTGCTCCTGCTTCAGTTGCTGTTGTTGTTGTGGACTGTTGGTATGTGGTGTGGAATGATGTTGTTGGAGGAGGAGGTGTGGTGATGACTGTTGGTCTACTTGTTGTTCTTGCTGGTTGTTACTGTTGTTGTTGTTGTTGCTGCTGTTGTTGCTGATACTATTATTACTATGGGTGCCACTACCGCCGGGCACTATAACGCCGCCGAGTAGGCTGCCGGTGCTGCCACCTATACGGTCATATAGAGGAAGAGAAGAAAAAAAGAGACAATAGTGACTTTTCTGTATATTTGACTTTGTTGTTATTTGGTTTGTTTTTGTTTTTGTTTCGTTTTCATTTGTTGTTTAGTTGTGTGTTGGAGTAGTAGTGGTAGTTTTTTTTTGTTCTGTTCGTGTTTTGTTTGTGGTGTTAGTGTGGCTCTGTCGGTGTATGTGGGCGTGTTAGTTGTCTGTGTGCTGTATCTGTTACTGTTTTTGTGTCTGTGTCTGTTTCTGTATTTTTGTTTTTGATTGGTTTACTTTTATAACACTAACAAATCCAGGCTCAAAGCAATGTAAATTTGCTGACTTTGCTAACTTTGCTCTCTTTAAATAGTTTTTCTCAAAATTTTGCTTTTGGTAATCGCTTCAGTTTATTTTTTCCGGACGCATTCTTCAAATTTTGGCTCGCAACGGTTTTGACCAAGGAAATTGTTGAAAAAACGATGCTGATCTCAATTTAATTCGTTTTAGGTTCAAATTCGGAGTGCGATTAGTAATATCGCATTTTTGGAGTTTTCATTTTTGGTTATTTGTTTCGGGTTGGGTTTTTGTTCCCTTTTTTTTGGGAAAACGCACATAAATAAAATGGTAATAAAACGGTTTTTTGACTGTTGTTGTAGCTGTAGCTGTTGCTGTTTTTGTTGTTGCTGTGGCTAATTTGTTGTGGTTGGAGTTGAACTCGAAGTGCACGGTTCTCAAGCCGCAGGTGGGAAATACGGTTTGACCTGCGCAATCTCTCAAATTCGAATTCGAATCCAAGTCGGATTCGTTTCGGTACGAATTTGAATTCGAGAATTTGCGCCCCGATCGCTGGCAATTGCAGTTGCAAGGTTTCAGTTGCAGTTGCGAGTACTACGTCATTGGGGAAGATCTTGGAACTGGTGAATAATTTTGTGGTGTCTTTTGCCAATTGGGTGTAATCTGATCGTTGGTAATTTGTCACGAATTTCGTGTATGCTTTTAAACCAATTTGTCTTGTTTTCGATTTCGATTCGCATTTCTTGATTTTCGGTTCAATGTCAATTTCGACTTCATTTCCAATTTAGTTTGCGTTTATTTTTTCGTTCGATTTCGATTTCTCAATTGTTTGTTAAGTTTAGCAAAATTTTGAAACATGTTTGGCCTGATTGATTTGTTATATATATAAAATGTAGAGTATTATTTTGAATTTCTTATTTTTGGTTATTTTTTTTCTATTTTGTTTACTTGCAAGATTCTTGCGGTTGTCACTAGTGTCTCTTTTTTTCAAACTCAATCGCAGCACCGTTGCCTGTGTTGGGATTGATTGGTTTTGGTTAGGTTGTGGTTTGGCTGGATTTGGGTTAAGGGTGGGGAATGGGGACTGGTTAAAAAGAACCAAATGTGCGGAATATTAAACGTGCCTGGTAACGGCTGGTTCACACATTGGGGGCTCTTTCCAATTAATTGTTGTGTGCGGGGAATGGTTTGGTTGTCAAATTGGGGGCACCTCTAAGAAGATTGAGATATTTTGCGTTTCACTGGTGAAGGCGAGCCGATCTTGCCTCGTTCTAATGGTGGAGCGGAGGGGGTTGGAATTATTTGCGTGGAGTGGTTTTATTAGTGTGGTTCTTGCTGAGATTTCTAGTCTTTAGGGGTTCTTAAAGTAGGTAAAGTTTGCACTCGACCTAAGGAGTGCGGGTGTGTTGGCGTATTTATGAGAGTGATAGGGTCAAAGTTTGATTCGGTTCGGCACACATGACATAAACATTGACGGGACACAGTGCCAAAATCTGGCCTATAATTTAGGTTATGTATTGTTATAAGTGAAGACGATATGTGGCATGATATGTGGCTAGACAGAAAGAGAGGCGGACAATGAGAGAAAGTGAGTGTTTTGTGTAATTTGGGGGGTGAGTGGGTGGGGGGAGGAAGAGGGTGGTGGTGTACCTCTGGCGATTGATTTTCCATGGCTGCTTTTGGTGTTAGTTTTCCAAAGGGAGGCGGGTGACGAATCCTCGATTAACATGCATACAACACCGAGGCTGGGGCGTGGGTTCTGGGGGGAGTGACCTCGGGAATGGACAGGGTAAATGAAATATCGTTTTGATGTGTAGACGTTTATTGTAATTATAATGGATTGAATTAGAATTGTAAGTGGAGTTCTTCGTACAGAACCACAATCGCTTCATATCATACAGGTATTTAACTGCATTGGCTTGCGGGTGTGTGGCGTATAAACGTATATATATATATATTTGCTTGAATTCATAGGTCTTACGCACATACATGTGTCTGTATCTTTACTTAGCAGCACTACATATTAACGAACACAGGTTTTATAATCGAAGTATCCGGTCCAAAATTTCAGTACGATTATTCAATATTCGCATATTTAACATTAAAAATACAAAAAAAATGTATAAAAAAAATATGGTTAAACATTTTTCTTAGCCTAGTCGTGTGTGTATGGGTGCGAGAGTGTGTTGGTGTGCGCTTAACCCTATATATTCAAAAACTGATAACTAGTTATGAGCACTGTAGAAAAGATCTTTGCAATTGGTCGGTCGTTCGGTCGGTCGCTCCCTATCGCTCATCGCTTCTTGCTCTTTTAAACTTCAAAACTTGTGTATCAACTACATCTATAAATCGAAACTTTTCAACATTATTTATATATTTTGTAAAGGTAAAAAAAAATCTGTAGCTTGGTCTTCATTTTATATTAAAAAGTTGAGAAAGATAATTCGTACGTCTATCCCCCTTGTAATATATATACGATTTGTGCCTATCATAAGTTGTATATAGAATATACTGTCTGTATATCTGATAAATTGTAGTTATTTAAAGCCATTTCGAAGAATTCACTACGGGCACCTCTGCTAGCTTCTACTTAACGTTATTAAGACCTATATAGCTGATGTGGGATTGTTATAGGGTATAGAAATGGGGTGAAAAGGTTCTCAAAACTCTTTAAATCTTTTCATGGGCGGTGGGGAAGGGGAGGGAAGGAGGGGTATGTTGGACTGTCTAGGGTTAATTTAATCTGTATAAACTGTGTATCCTGTGCTTAGCAACTACCGAAGGCAACTAATTGTAACTAGCCTAGACTGTGTGTGTGTGTGCTCATCCACGTCCCTCCAATTTTATCAGTGATCTGCCTTCTGGTCCTTAATAATTAATGTCTACAAAAAGCACCGTTTTGTGTGTGTTCCTATACCTTACACCTACATATGCTTGACATTCAGTTAATTTAATACAATCGCTAAGGGGCAAACTTAACAAAAACCTGCTACTCCCATTGGTTGTACCGCTCGGGAGACCCCCCCCCCCACCCCTTAATTGGAGAACTCTCCGCTTCTGTTGGTCATGTGGTGAGGGTGCGGGTGCGCCTGATGCTGCTGCTGGCGGTAGTCGAAGTACATGAAGCCCTATGAGGACGAGTGATGGTTCAGCTGCTGCTGCTGGTGCTGCTGATGGTAGAAGCTATTTGCCGTGGCTTGGGGGCGCTGGCGCCCGGCTCCTGTTTGGGCTGCTTGAGGTTGCGGTGGTAAATGCTCTTGTGGTTGCGCAGGCTGTTCAGGGAGCTGTAGACCCGCTTGCAGATGTTGCACACGGGCTCTTTGGTGGGGCGCATGTGCACGTTCTGGATGTGGCGCTTGAGGCGCGTAAGCGAGCTCAGGTTCTTGTTGCACGGGTTGCATCGGAAGTCGTCGCCGCCGCTAGTCGCGCTGCTTAGACCGGCGACTCCGCCGCTCGATGTGTTAAGGGCTGAGTTTAGGCCACCCGTCGAGTTGTTCAGTGAGCTGTTGGCGCTGCCACTCGTCGATGCGGAAGCCGATGCCGAGGCCGAGGCTGAGGCCGCCATGTTGGCCATCACCGCCGCGAACATCTGCTGCTGGGTGGTGGTGGGCGTGTTGGGTGTGGGTGTGCTGCAGGCCAGGATCCCGTTCGGCGCTTGGCTCCCCTGGTTGTTCCCCTGCTGTTGTTGCTGGTGGTGATGGTGCTGCTGCTGCTGCTGGGGCAGCAGCGCGGTCACCGAGAGACCGCCCTTGCTACCGCCGCCGCTGCTCCCGTTGGCTGCGAAAGTGGAGAGGTTAAGGCCACAGATGCCGGAGGCACTTGTGATGGCTGTAGGTCGAGTTGGATTTGTTGTTGTTGTAGTAGTTGGTGGTAATGGAGTTGGAGTTTTTGTTGAGTTGGAGATGGTTTTTGTTGGTAGAGAGTAATCGTAGTTGTTGTTGTTGGTAATCAAGTTGTTGTTTATTGTTGTTGTAGTAGTTGTAGCATTTGTCGTCAGTTTACCTGACGACAAAGTGGGGAAGAAAGTCAGAAAACGTCGCATTAGCCCAAGGACAACGAGTTTTATTGAATTGGTTTTTTTGCTTCAATTTTGCGTGATTTCTCATTGGTTTCGATTGGGATTTTGATTTTGATTTTTGAATGTTTGATTTTCGATTTTTTTGTTTGTTTTCATGAGTTTTGCCGGATAGTTATCAGAAAACGAATTTCGTTAGCATTTTTTGCATCAAATATGTATGTTTGCTTCATTTCTGCTATAGCTTTTGCATGATTTAGTGGCTATTTTAACTTTGGATTTATTTTTCGATTGTTCAATCTGTTTTTCTTGCGGAGTGCATGACATTAGACAGATAGGTATACAGAAAGGGAGAGTAAGAGAGAAATAGATGTTAAGGTGGGGAAAAGGATAATGGGAGATGGCATGTGGAAAAGAAAATTGCAATGGAAAATGTGAGAAATTTAATTCTTTTTTGATTGTTCGCCGACGTATCAGTTTCAGTTTTTCACGACTCAACTCGAAAATGAATTGCCGTGCCTGCGACTCAAACTGTGACTGTGACTCAGTTCAGTTCCAGAGGGATTCGATTCTTTCATTCTTGGCGGCTGCTTATATGAACATCGATGTCGATCTGATCGCATGATGGACACTACCGATACTCAACGTGTGCAAAATTGTTGGGGTTCTTTTGTTTGGCTCAGGTTTGGTTTAAGGTTCTTGTTGGTTGGTTGGCTGGTTTTGGTTTGTTTTGGTTTGGGTTTTTTTTTGTTGTAGTTTAGTTTGTTGTTTAACTCATTACCATAGTGTGCGGTGGTGTGTAGTAATTTACAAAGTAGGAATAGGAAAAGGAGGAGCGTTTAAATTCTGGCTTAAGAGGAGGGCAAGAGAAATTCCGCATGTATCTGTTTGTGTGTGTCTGGGTGCTCGTGTATGTTTTTGTGTGTGTGGGTGTGTTTGTGTAAAACACCATCACCATAAAAAGTTCATAGTATCTGTACTTTCTTTGTTCATGTTTTGTGGTTCGTGTTCTCTGGCTTCCCGTACCTAGGGACTCTCTCCGTGTCGGTGTGTCTTTTTGTGTGTGTGTGTTTGTGAGCATGTATAGGGGGTTGTGTGTGCATGTGTCACTTAAAAATCACTACAATTAAATCGCTGCCAAATCATCACCTTCGTATTCAAGATCATCATCTCTCTTCGTGGTCATAATGGTAATTTTTAGATTCGATTTTAATTTCGACTTATTTTTGATTTTTCAATGTTTGCAGAATTTCGTTAAATTTACATTGTGATTTTATTACATTTTTAGCTTTTAATTATTTTTTTATTCTTGGGCCTTTGGAGAGGTTGGAGTGCTGGTGGATCTGTTAGTTTTAGACAGTTAAAAAATTTTCTTGGCTAAATAAAACTTCTTGTAACTCTTCGATTCTTTTCAATTTAAGGTCCTCTTGATTGACCGTTACATATTTTTAGCTGTGTGCTAATATGCACTGAGTAATTTAAAACGTTTTTTTAATTAAATTAATTCTCTTTTAATTTGTTGTAATTTGTAAATAACATTGTTCCGATCCCAACTCCTCCATTCCATCCGCAGCTTGCAAGCTGGTTTTGTGTCTTTCAATTTGTTTGTGTCCTTAGGTGGTAACTTAAATAGATTGGTGTTGGATACATTTTTCGGTTTGCCTGGATCACCAATTGCGGAACTTAAAATTAGTGAATTTAGAATGCTTTATTCTAGGTATGCTAGGCGTAAGCTAGTACTCTGATTTCTCATTTTGTGACTGTGTGTGTATGTTTGTATCCTTTGGTTTAATAAATAGGAGCAACAAATATATATGTATATATAGAGCGTAATTTGAAGCGGTTTGTCAATCAAATGTATGTATATACTTGAAGCCTTAAGTTGTTGGTAGACGTATTCTCAGTTTGTGTTTTTAGTGCAAAGGAGAGTGTGGGTTGGAACTTGTGAGAAGGGGGGAAAGAAGAGGGAGGGAAGTGGGGGTGGATGTGAATGTATCACGTATCGAGTTGTCTGCTTGGGTCGCCTGTGGCGGCGGTGGTTGTATCTATGAATCCATTGGAGGTTTAGTAAAGCGGATTTATATACGTATACAGGGGGTTAGGTAGATCAATTCTTAACATTATGTATATACTTTGGTTCATATATATATACGTGTGTGGGTAGGTAGATATATTATATATGTATAGTTCTCACGATTATTGGGGAATTTAAATTTTGGTCGGTTAGTACAATTGGAAAGAGATTAAAGATTAGCGTTAGGCGATCATCATAGGTATTACTTCCCTTTGGTGATCTTTTTGTTAGCTGTTAGAGCGAATAATAGAGTTCATGTGTGTGTGTGCGGGTGGGCGGGGATGTATATGTGTGTAAGTATGTGAGTGTTTGAGCTATTAGACATTTCGAATAGCAAAACGTTAGCCTAGCCTCCTCTGAATTTAATTTCACGGGGGCTCTATGTGTGTGTGCGTCCTGTGGCGGGTCAATGCGTGTGTTTGTGTGCGTGCGTGGTTAGCGTGGCCAGGTGATCTAGTGATCAGGTGAGTTGAAGTGTGGCCGTGTTGGGTTTTAAGTGTGGAGTGAGGAGCGTGCGGTGTCGAGTGGGGACACATTGCGTTGTAGTATTGGTCTGCCGAGAGTCGCGCAACGGAGTGGAGTAAAACGGAATAAATCGTATTGCGTGCACATGTGTGAACGAATGCCAATCTGTGCTAAGCTCTGAGTGATCCTCCGCCCCGGGACACGGACCAGCTTTTGGAAGGCTATCAAAGGATTTACAAGTACCCAATGTGCACTTATTTCTGTATTCGCAGCGGTTAGATGGAGTTTGTTTGAGTATGAGTGTAAGGCTGTTCGTGTGGGGTATTTCGAGGTTGGGTTTTGGGGTCTGGCCAGGCTGTGTGTGTGCTCAAAACAAAGTGTGACCAAATTCGAGGGAACAAGAGACAGGCCCAGGGGCGTAGGGTGTGGCTTTTTCGGGGGACTGGGGGTAAACTTAATGAAAACCCCCTTTTACCGCCATCACAGACTGTGGTTGGGGACTTCGACAGTTGTTAAAAAAAGAACATTGAACATTAATGTGAAAATTCGTTCGAATGCATTTGTTGCAAATTTCGCTTTTCTTTTGACTTTACTAATGGGAGTGGGTCGTTGGTCGGTTAATTTGGTTTGGGTGGGTTTAAATAGTTTTAGACACAAGCACGACGACGTACAAATAAAGGAAATAGTTCAATATTTAATACACACATATATTTTATGTAGGTATGTATATATTCGATCTTCAAATGCGTTGCGTTTTACATGGAAACTAAAGTTCACACCAATAAAATTTCGATTGCAACATGTACTCGGTGTTCTCTTCTCTGCGGGGATTTCCCGTGTCATGTCTAGTGTTGATCTGCCATTTTTTTTTAAACTGGGAGTAACACAACAAAACTTAAGTGGAAAAAAACCAAAAATATTCTGAAAATATACCAAAAAAAAAAAAAGCAACGAAATGAGAACACTGGCACTCTACTCTACTGAAATCATAGGATGAAACTGAACTGAAAATATTTTTCTATTTTCCCCTTGCGAGTTTGGTTTAAATGAAACAAATAAAGGCGGTGGGCAGGACTGGATCATGGTATTGGATAAAAACGGAGCATAATGTCAAGCTTGGGGCGCTTTTAGAAACAGTATGCATGTGTTTGTAGTGGGAAAGTGTATTGGCGTGTTTATTGTATATGTAAGTGGATGCGCTTTTCTGTTGTTGTAGTACATTTTGCTGGTGTTTGATTTGATTTACTTGGGTTTTTCATTACAAATACAAAATATTAGCACACAAAGAGGACCGAAATAAGAAAAAAAAGTATGCAGAACAAAAACGGAAACGTAAACATAAGCGGATTACGCAGTCGAAATAACAACGGTTAAGAAACATTAACGCGTGGTGTGTGGGGTCGTGTAGCATTCATTATTTGTTTCGGTCTTGAGATAGCTCTTCGATCCAAGCGTGAGGAGTAAAGTCAGTAAAGTTACTTGTGCCCACCAGGACTGATCGATCAAGTGCAGCAAGCAGTAGCAAGACCAAACATGTGGTTAAGGTCTAGAGCTCCAGGGACGGGACTCTGGATTGTTGCGGCCTAACCACAGCAACACACACACCGTAACGAGTGCGGCACGAAACTTTTAGTATAATTTTGCTAAACACTCTGCGGGCGGCAGACGAGCTAGAAAGCTGGGAGTTAATTAATTTTGCGTAGTTCATCAAACAACTTGCAAAGCGGGAATTTGAAATAAGCCGGCGTGTGGCTGCGCCTGTTGCTCCACTCCGCTGTAGGAGGGTTTTGCTGTTGGGCCAAAGTTTCGCGGCTTGTGTTTATTTAGCAATTACCCCGCCGTATTGATTATGCATTACTCGTCTTCGCCGCCATCATCATCGACAGCATGAACATGTGGCTCATTTTCGTACACGGATAACATGGGAAACCGACTAGCTGGAGTACTGGTACTGGAGTGGGGATTTATGGTATATGGTTTCTGGACTCTGGAATCTGGGTGTTTTTCCCTGGGCTCTTCTGGCATGTGCGTATGTGTGAGTGTGACCGAAACAAATGAAAACATTTACCATCGAAACAATCAAACAAGAAAGAAATTTATACACTTTTTACGCTACGACGGGAACTCGACTTGGAATCACAACGAACTGCAAACCGTTACGGCTTTTTTTTTGTTGTAGGTGGAGGGAGGGAAGGGATTTGTATCTCGATTTAAACGCGTTTCGGTTTGGGTCTGCCGTTGGTTCCAAGGATCAAGTTCGAATTCGTATTTGGATTTGGGTGGGGATTCGAGTTGAGTCAAACGGGAAATAAATCGAAAATTAAATCAAAAGTCTTGCTCCTGATCGACACGCATACATATGCGACATGTATGTATGTATGTGTGTGTCCTCAAGTCAGTCGAAACGCAAAAATCGAAAGAAATAAAAATACAACGAAAACAAAACGATATTTACAACAAAAAAATAAAAAAGATCGAGAATTAACCCAAATTCTTGTACGGGCAGTCAAAATAATCTCTCAGCAGTTTTCAGTAACTTCAACTTGGATTCTGGTTTTGGTTTTGGTTTTTGATATAATTTTAATTTTAGTTTTAGATGTGGAATCGAGTCCTCTTTATTTTTATGTTAACGTTTGCTTTTAGACTTTCATTTCTTTTGGTATCTGGTATCTGACTTGAATAGACTCTTTGGTATATCATTTTGGTACTTGCATTTGCATTTGATGTAAAAAATGTAATAATGAGCTTTTGGGCGCAAATAGAGCGGAACAATAGAGTACGGATAGATAAATGCTCGGACTCACCTTGAGGGGACACGGCGAGGTCACCGGACTGCTGCAACTGTGTGTTGAGACCTGATCGTGGCCACCGATCGATTGCCGCGGCGAAAAAGAGAGAGAGAGAGAGAGAGAGAAAGCGAGAGGGAGAGGGAGAAAGGCGAAGAGCGAGAGGAAAAGCGTTAGTTTGTCAGTTAGTACGACTCTTCGCGAGTTGTGCATACGTACCAAGCAACGCTGAGTGATCGAGATTGCTCATTGGGAAGTTGAAGGCGGCAGCCTGGAACATCTTGTTTTCCGCCGGAGACATGATGAACTGCGGGGCGGCGTGGTGCGTGGCAAGTCCATCACCGATTTCTTCGTCATTGCCAGAGCTGCAATGGAATTTCGAGGGTCAATAGCTAAATGACTTAATTTCAATTTATCCTTCAGGAAAATATGTTTCAAGTGCTTGACTGATAACGGATAACTGACTGATTAACGGGTGAGAGATAAATTGTGCAATGAAATATTTACTTTGTGTTAAAACTATAACTTATAAATAACTTTTTGAAGTTGTCAGGAACAATACCCTACCTCAGAGAACCCTTGCCGCCATCGCCACTGCTGGAGCGGTTGGCGTCGTGCTCGCCGGTGGAGTCGTTGCTGTGCTCGTCGTTGGCGTTGGCATTGTTGTTGGAGCAGACCAGCTCCATGGGCTCAGACTTGACGTCATCGGTGCCAGCGCGAGCAAGCGGCGAGGGTGTGAGGCTGCCCAGCTTGTCGCTGATGGAGATTCCGTTGCCGTTGCTCGCTCCGTTGCCATTACCGTTGCCAGTGTTTCCATTGCCATTGCCGTTGCCGTTGCCGTTGCCGTTGCCAGTGGGTCCGTTGCCTGTAAGACAAAAAGGGGCGAAAGGGGGGCGGGTTATTCAAATTTACCCACCATCACCAATCCCAACTGGGATCGCCAGGCACTCACGCTTCTCTTCCTTGAGCGGCGGCGTGTTGTTGTTGTTGTGGTGCTTGATCGTGCTGAAGTCGGCCGGAGTCTGTTGAGGCGAAGCGCTGCGCGCAAGGAGCGGCGGCAAGTCGGGGCTGTTGTTGTTGCTGGCACTGCCGGTACCGGATAGGGGCAGACCGTTGTCCGATCCGCGCAGCCGCTTGAGAGCCTGTGAGGTCTCCTCGGCGACTGCGGCGCTGCTGCGATGCATCATGGCCATGCGTTTCAGCAGCTGGTTGTTAATGTGAGGGGGCAGCGACGGCACCCCGGGGGGTGGCGGGGAGCCCGCTCCCTGGCGGCTGAAGAGGGTCGAGGCTCCGCCGTCGTCGTGCAAGGCGCCGTGATGTGGATGTGGGTGCGAATGAGCGTGCGTGTTAAGCGGCGTGCGGCCACCGGCGTTGGCCAGGTTCTGGATCTGAGTCAGGTGCTGTGGAAAATGCTAAGTAGAGTTCCGCTAATCATACTGCTAGTCCTACTTCTACTCACGCTGTGTGTATCCTCCGCCTGCTGCTGTGTGAGTCCCGAGACGCGCAACACCTCGGCGGTCTTTAGGAAGGACTGCAGCGACTTCTGGTGAACGTTGACCTCGCCGTGGTAGATGAACTCCACCAGCGAGTGCAGATCCATGAAGTTGACATCCTGCAGCAATATGACCGGGTGTTTGCAGGGTGTGCTCTAAAAGGAGGTGTGTGAAATTCGAAATATATATAGCGATTAGTGTGTTACTCAGGCCAGTTGTTCAGTTATTCATTTGTTGAGTCAGAGCACTTGCCCTTCCCCCGACCCTCGATATGCCTGTTTGCCTGGGCAATTATCAAGGGGCGCTGGCCCAGAAATGTCAACAGGCCAACGCGCGATTTGAAGTTTGCATTCGCTGGTTTCGCTACCAGCTGCAGTTGTTGCTTCTGCCATGTGTGCAGTCAGTTCCCCCTGGCCCTGCCCCTGCCCCTTCCCATTTCCATCCTACTGTGCACTTTCAGGGCCAGTGCATTCCAGTTTGTGCTGCAAACTGAGTGTGTGTACAGTGAATTTCACTTATCAAGTGGAACTCCAACAAAGGGAGCTGGTCCTCCGCTGTTTCTTTTTCTGTCTCTGTTTTTGCGCTGCCTGGCTAGAAATTGGGTCAAGTCTCGCCAAGTCTTTTGTCTCTTCACAGCTCTGCTGCCCTGAAAGGCCCTGCATCCCGTGTTTTCGTCTTATTTACTGGCTTTTGCAATTTATGTGCTCTCGCTCACACGCACACGCACTGAATATTTGCGATTGAGTTAGCGCTAAAAGATTGCCAGTACGGCGGTGTAAGTGCATTTCTGTATCTGTGGTATTGCGAAATTGAGGTCAACTTGACGAAAGACCAACTCGCTGGGAGCGATCGAAAGAGTTCCTCTCCAGCCGCCGCCGCCGCCGCTACAGCTGACATATCATGCAAATAAGGGACTGTGGGCGTGGCCCTGGTCGTTACACAAAAGCCAGAAATGCTTTGAGCAAATGCCTCACTCAGTAGCAGCCATTAAGCCACCTCTAGTCGCTGGATCTCTGCTTTGGCCAATTGCCATTCCGAATCCGAATTCGAATCAGAGTCCGAATCCGAAACCCCTGGGGCTGGATTTGTCGCCGACTTTTTGTTGTTCGGCAGTTTTTACACCTAATTAAAATAATGCGCTGCAGTTAATTAAATATTTATGCATAGGCGCAAAGTCGCACACAATTGCGACGCCAAGTGCTGGGGGGCGGGCCTCTTACCCCCAGTCGCCGAGAACTGGGCGAGAGCCAAGTGTCTGGTCCGGTCGAGTCCAGTTCACTTTGCCTGCCAGTTTTGCCAGTTGCTACTCAGTAGTACTGTCTACTGTCTACTTTTGTGCACCTCCTACTGCCCACTTGTATGTATTTCAAATTGAATTTACAAAGTTTTGTGCCAGTGCCCGTTCCGTTGCCATTGCCGTTTTTTGTGTTGCACTGCCAGCCAGCAAAGTTTTGTATACTAATTTCTTAGCTACATAATTTCCACTACGACAACAAACGGGAATGTACAAAAAGAACTCAAGAAAAATTCGCTCGGCCCTTTGTTGGCGTTGCTGTTTTTGTCCCGCTGCATTTAGTTGGTCTTTTTAACAAATTAAATGCCGACTTTTTCTGCTCGTGCAATTTCTTGTTTTCGTAGAGGAGAGGTTAAGGTGGTGAAGGGGGTGGGAGGAGAAAACTTTGGCGGGGACTTCTTAACATGTTGTTTCGGTTCCCGTCCTCCGTTGCCATAGCTGTTGCGTAATCAGCGCTGGATTGGCCCGCGGCACCCCCTCTCCCCATTCCCATTCCCATCCCCACGTAGCTTTCTCCTAATTGGAGTTCTTCCCCAAACCAAACAGAACTGACAAGTTTGCCGCGCTGCTCGCTTTTTGTTTGACGGCCTCGCGCATAATTTGGAACAAAAACGCAAAATAATAACGGAAAGCAGCAAGTTTTCTATCATGTTAACAAATCATGTCGAAAGAGACGGTAACAGTAACGAGGGGCGGTATTCGGGGGGAGGGAACTTTGTAATTTATATAATTTCTGCTGCAGGACCTCCTCTTTGTCCCGTCCCCGCCGCCAATGACAGCTTTAACAATGCAAATGGCAAACGTCGAGGCTGCCTTGTCCCCTTGTCCCTCTCTAACTAGATTGTTCCGTCTCTTTTGCTCAAAACCGCAATTGCGTGCAAATATTTTCAATGCAGGCAGCGCAAAGTTTTGGCGGGCAAACGTCGGCAGCAACAGCGATTCACATAATTTTAATGTCATAATAAAAATAATGAACCAAACTGCGGGCTTCGGCGGTGCGGGCTGCATTAGTTGGAGCTGGAAGTTTACTTTGACTTCAACTTGGGCAGCAACTTCAAGGATTAGCCAAGGACGAAGCAAGGATGTGGAAGGTGGTCCTGGCGTTTGCGATTCTGCCGACTCATTTGAGCTGCTCTACTTTCGAGTTTCCGGACAGACAATCGCAGATCCGCATGCGTTGCATGATCAGGGCACACAAATCAATCATACGTACCGGTGTCCCAGAGCGAAGTCCATGCATTCAACTCATTTGCACCGCAACCCAACCAAAAATAAATATTTTGCTAAAATTGCAGGGTTGTACCAAGCCAGAAATCATAACGTGCTTCAACTGTACACACTACTTCCTTCCTTTTTGCTTCCTTTTTGCTTGCCTTGCCGTGTTTGTGTCTATCGCGACTGTGGTTGCTTTCTTGTTTTTTTTCTTAATCCGGCTGTTATGTGCTGCCGCGTGCAACTAAATAAATTAAAAACGCCAGCCCCCACTTCGCTCACCTCTTTACAAAACTTACTCCTGGCCATAATATTTTAGCTAAAAGCACACAGCTATTTCCCTACATCCTTGCCAAATAAACTTTTGCGGAACGTTTTGGCCCACCTTGCCGGAGTGGGACTTTGTTTTGCGGATTTAAAATAATTCCCTGGCTGCTTGGTACGGATTTCTGACAGTCTAAACTGATCATAATGCAAGGCGGACTTGAACCACAAACGAAGCCGAAAGCCACTACATATCCCTCCCTGCGCGTATGTACTATATATACATATTTAACGGGCTGAACGTAGTCCCCCAAGTTGAAGGCAATCGACTGTAAAGCAGGAAACTGGAGTTGACATCGGCGGCTGCTGCACACATGTGCACAGGCGAAGATAAAGGCGCAGATCGAGGTAGCGATCGCTACTAAGTAGGTCACACGCACAATCACTCACGATGATTGCCCTTAACTCTGTATCTGTAAATGCAATTGCTAAAGTATACAGAGAAGAAAATGATATAATCGGTTTCAATGTGGCCAACGACTAACCAGATTTACCTTACAATTTGAATTAAAAACTTGGCATAAGAGTTGGGTTGATCATGAACAAGTGAACAAAAAAGAGTAGTTCCCTTACATGAGTGTCCTTTTTGGCTCAGTTGCTCACTTGTTCAGTTGATCAGTTGTTTAATTAATTATCAGTCATTGACCAATTAGGTAAATCAACCAGTGAGTGAGTTTCTTTTACCCACTAAAAAGTAAGCAACTGATCTTGTTTACCAAAGTAAGCAGTGTTTTCCCAACACTACTTGGCATATTGGTATTTAAAGTTTCGAAAAAATCTATTTGTTGTTAAGCCCAACAAAGCAATTGTATATGGTATATGGTATATGGTATATGGTATATGGTATATGGTATATGGTATATGGTATATGGTATATGGTATATGGTATATGGTATATGGTATATGGTATATGGTATATGGTATATGGTATATGGTATATGGTATATGGTATATGGTATATGGTATATGGTATATGGTATATGGTATATGGTATATGGTATATGGTATATGGTATATGGTATATGGTATATGGTATATGGTATATGGTATATGGTATATGGTATATGGTATATGGTATATGGTATATGGTATATGGTATATATTAGATATCGAGACACTCACCTTGAGCAGCTCGCGGAAGTAGGGACTACAGGCGGAGAGGACGACGCGGTGCGCCTTGATGCTGCGTCCCTCGCAGGCAAGCGTCACATCCACAAATGCCTCGTCGTCCCGCAGGTTCTCAAAGGCCGAGGTGATGCTGCTCTGATAGTTGTTCCAGCGCAGACAGAAGTGCTGTGTGTCGTCCATCTCGATGGGCTTCTGGTTACGGTTGTTCCTATGGTACTGGGCTACCTGCTCCTGTTCTGGGTGAACGGGATTGGGTGTGGGTGTGGTTGTGGGCTGCCGAGCGTTGTGGTCGTTCTTGTGGTTGTTGTTGTTGTGATCGTCGTCAACCGACACAACGCTGGCCTTCTTTGAGGTCACCTTCTTGCGTATTTTGAAGGCTTTTTCGTGGCCCCCCGATGAAAGGATGAAAGCACTGTGGCTGTCGCTTTTCTTTGGTTGCGGCTGGCGGAAGTATTTGCTGTTGGGTCCGATTGTGTTGCGGAGTAGCTGGACTATTTACTAATGATTATTTAACTGCAAGCAAAAAGAACGCAAAATACAAACAATTAGAGTTTGAGTCGAAATAGAGTTTCAGGTTCATCAGGTTGGCGGAGAATTGAACCCTTCGCCGCCCGCCACATATGTTTAGAGTTCGCCTCGAATTGCTTTTATTTTCGCTGCGCGAACTAAAAGTTCTGCATTTGTTTCTGCTTTGCTACGGTTTTTGCTCCGTGTTTCGTTTTTTTTTTTTTTTTGACTGCTCTGCTTTTGTTGCTGCCTCTGTTTTGATTGCAACTATGCGAAATGTTTAAAAATTGTTAACAAATGCAGTTTAAAATGTCAACCACGGCGACGACGCAGCAGCAAAAACCATTTCTATGTCACACGGCGAATCAAAATTAAATAAACTATCAAGACGACAATTAGCACTCGTAGAGACAGAAGAAGCAGCACAAGCCGACAGCGTAAAAAATTCATAACGAGTGCAGAACCACCGAAAAAAAAACAAAAAGCCATAAAAAACGTAGTGAAAACAGCCAACGCATCGCAAATAAGAGGAGTGAAAAAAGCGAATTATAACAAATGCGAATATACCAAGAACACTTGTACAGTTGGGTGGGAGCGGAAGCGGGAACAGGCGTGTGGGCACTGAGGCGGGAAACGTTCTGCTCCCATCTGGACATCTTGCAGAAAATCGCAAAAAAAAAAAACATGTGTTTATTTGAATACAGAAAACTTTTGGGGCAGTTCATCTCTCTTCTGTCTCAGTCTCTGTATTTCCCTCTCCTTTCCCCTGTCCCTCTCTTGCTCTCACCGAACTGTTTGCGAATTGTGAACTGCGATAAGCGGAGCAGAGCAGCGGCAGCGCCAAAGCTTTCGCTCGACATTGAAAGTGAAAACTATTAGATAAGACCGCCGGGCGTGCGCTGCACTTTTTTTTTCTAACAAACCCACAAACTGATACGTATGAGTGATGTGTCCGCACAAAAATAGCACCCCTCGCAGACCCCTTTGTGTACGGGCGTTGAGATATCGTCATCCTGTTACCCATTACCCAGTCTTATTCCCATTCTAATTCCCATTCCCACCGATTCTCCAATTGCGAGGGGCTCTCACCTTCCTTCTGCTGGCGCTCTGATTGGAATCCGACGCCCGGCTCGGATTAGCCCTGCTTCTTATTGGAGCTTGCGGGGCATTTTGAGCTTTCCGCTCAATTGGTTTTTTCAGCTGGACTTGCAATTTGCAAACTTTCTGATTTCAGAATTTTCGTATTTAGAGTGAACTATTCTGCTGGCATACACGCAGTTTTCTGTGCACGCTGTTCCTCTTTTTCTCACTTAACAAAAGGCAAAAAAAAGGCACTCACACACGATTCACACACATAGACTCGTCAAGGATGAACATGAACCGTTAGCTAGAAGCTGGGAAGCTAAGAATTCTGGAGAAGAACCGAACCGAACCGAACTTAAACGCAAAGCGAGCGATTTGGAGGAGCGACCGACCGAACGCACCGAACCGATGATTAAACTAAACTATCTCGGCATATGTATCATGGCCTGAGCCGAGCTCGTCGAGCCCCATAGGCGAGGGGGAGGGGGTGGTTGGAGCGGAGCGGCTCCAGGATCACCCGCGGACGGATGTGTGGATATATGCGTGACTGGGCTATCGGGCAATTGAGTTATTTGGTGGATATCGGATATGACCGAAATTTCGGATAGTCCGTGTCCGTTTTCCGTGAGTTTTTGGTTTTGTGTTTGTTGCGTTTGACGATTGCAAGCGTAGAAACTCAACTGAATTCGCGCTAAAGAAGAAGAGAGTGCCATGCCAAACTCAGTCGCTGCCTCGGTCGCCGATTCTGCCTCTGCCTCTGCCAGCGTCGACATCGACGGCACACAAAAAGCGCATTAGGCGGCCAAAAAAGTCGGCACACACCGCCTCACACAAGCGAAACTATTCCCCAAAATTTCAGAATTCTGCGTCTGTGTGTGTATGTGTGCGTGCTGCGCCGTCTGGATGCGGGAGCGAGGGAGATGACGCGACAGAAAGGCGATCGCGCGCACGCTCCGTTGTCCGTTGGCGATCGAAAGGATTGGACAGGGACAGCAACAGCAACAGTGTGACTGCTGCAGGACAGAGCGAAAGAGAATGAGGGCCAACTTGGGGCGTATTAGAATGTTGAGTTCCCAGACGCAGCACACTCACACAGCAGAAAACAATTTTTTGCAAAAAAATTTCAGCGCCGAATTTTTAATGTTTCTGATCTCTGGCTCTCTCTGTCGCTCTCCCGTTTATACTAGAGTCGGATTTTTGTGCATAGAACAAAAAAAAACGCGTCGCAGTCGCAGCGCTGCCGTCGCCTGACTAATAACTAAAAATGGTGAAGAAAGAGAAGAAGCGACCTTACCCTCCCGCTTCCCTACACACTCCAGACGTCGACGTCCAAAAAGGGGGACGCCTTCAGCGGAAAACCCTGGAATAGGCTCCTGGAATGAGGTAGGGCAACCCCCCTCCAATAGATAATTTCAGCAAGTATCTTAGATTTTAATAAAGAGCAAAGAAAACAATTTCGCAGTATTTGCTCCCGTTTTCGTGTTTTGTTTCTTGCTGCATGTAGCGGAGATCTTGTATGTGTGTGTGTGTGTGTGACCGTAGTGCTTACGAACTTTCAAGGCTAAATACTAAATTTTTTGTTGCCTCTGTGGCCGTATTATTATTAAATTTTGTTTGGCGTATTTCGCTTGCCAGCTCTTTTTCTCTCACTTCCACGCGCTCTTGCTCTCGTTGCCTTTAAAATAGTTCTAGAAAAAGTCAAATTCGTTGCAGTCATTTTTTCGGGTCTCCCCCAGTGTGTCTGTGTGTTGGTGTGCGATATGGTGCGAGTTTGAATAAAAGCAATTATTTGGCTGACTGCGCTGTAGCTTATAAAAAGCCAAAAGAGCAGCGACGAACGCGATTAGATAGAGCGGCAAGTAGTTTGTTCAGTTGGAAACTACATTTTTAAATGCCAACGAAAATGAAGGCTTTGGCTGTGGGTCGATCGGTCTGCCGGCCATATCTATATCTTTACCTATATCTCCTGCACCACCCTCGCAAACTTGTTTGACGCCCCTCGCGCTCGCCTTTTGCTTTCTCTTTCTTTCTGGGTTTGTGCGAATCTTTTGCTTTTTGGATTTCTTCTGACTCTGCTTTGCCATTGCCTTTGTTTCGTATCTTTCGTTGTCTCCAAGTGTGTTTGTGTGCGGTTTCTATTTTCAAGGTTAACCGACTTAGTTATGCACGCACACTCACACTCGCAGCTATCCGCACTCTCATTTTAGCCTTTTCATTCCCTTACAATTGTGATAGGGTCGACGCGCGACAAGTTGGTATACGACAGCTAACAAAACATTTAACAAGGTCAGTCCACATCCACTTCCCCACTAACCAACCTCTGCCCCTTTTCCACCGCTTTTCACTTGTTGCCGGCTAGACGCTGTGGCGCCCACATCGCATTTCCACATGGCAAATCACACACATTGCAAATACTGTCCCCCTCCCCACTTCCCCCTTCCGGGCACCAAATGCCGACCAAATGTAAAATCTAACGGCCAACACACACACAGGCACACGTGGCGAGAGCCAAGAGTAGTAAAAGGGAAAGTTCTGTGTACAAACTAGCAGAGAGCAGGGAGCAAGGGAGAGAGAATTGGCGTAGGAGGCGTCGTAAGCATTACAGCGAGTGCAGAGTGCAGGCGTCTGTGTTGGTAAGTGGAATTTAAATGTCTGTGTGCGGCTAGACAAATGCTAGACGCAAAAGGCGCCCACCACTTCACCCACTACATTGTGTGTGTGCGTCCGGCATTACGAGGCATTTAAATTTGCATGTGCAATTCCCCACACACAGTGGAGCGGAGGAGGGGAACCTGTAGAGCACCTGAGTAATGTGTGTTAATTGGCCAATTAGGCTAATTGTAAGCAATTGGAGGGGATTGGGTGAAGAGGGAGCGGAAGCGGGCAAATAGAAAAAGTAACAAACATTGAAAGCGAGGAAGCGCTATCGCACGCACAGACACAGAGATAGATCCATTTCAAAACAAAACCCAATTCTTCAACTCGTAAACTGAGTCCAAGTTCAAGGTCTCGTGTTCAATTCAATCGACTCTGCCTCTGCCGTCGTCGCTGCCTAGTTAGTTGCGCATAATAGAGAGAGTGCGAGCGAGAGAGCATTAGAAAGCTCGCCACTGACATTTTGCGATGGTGTTAAAGCGTGAGCGTGTGGACAAACACTACAAACAGAGGCAGTCTCTCTTGCTCTCTCCTGCTTTCAGCCATCTTCCAGAAGGAAGAGTATCGAACCAGACAGTGAAGAAGAAGAGCCAGCACGCCACCCCTGTTCCCTCTTTCCTGTCTGGAAGGCTATGACTATTATTCCAAAAAAAAAAAGAGCCTGACCACTTTTGTCTACGCTTCTTCTTTGGGCTTTTGCTGCCTGCGCCGCCGTTTCTTTTTTTTTTTGTTTGTTTTGGCTTGGCTCTCTGCCCTCTCCCTGTTCCCCACACCCTCCACATTTCGCATTCCCGCTGACAATGTTGATTTCTATTGTTAGTGAGCTGCGACTGCGCCGTCAGCTTCGCCGTCTCTCTTTCGCTTAGTTGTTTTGGATTTTTGCTAATTTGACCTTCACCTTAACCTAGTCATTGTGTGTCGGACATTCGGTCATTTACCCCGCGCAATTTCGCCAACCAAAGTCGAAAAGCTTCAAATAAATAAAAACGCGAGAGTGGGTGAGCGCGCGAGTGTGAGTAAAAGAGCCCCTTCTCTGGCTGCTTAGAAACGTCAGGCAAAAAAGCTAGACAGAGCCAGCTTCTCTCCCACTCCCACTTGTTTTCTCACTCAACTATTTCTATTCTCCGCTAGTTTCTATTTGAGAGCTTTTGCTCTCTCTCTCTCTCTCTTCACTGGAAAACTAGCCATGTAAGTTTCGAGTTCGCTGCTCTTGAGTCAAATCAAATGAAAAGACGTGGTGCGAATAGTTTTGCGCTAGATCGGCGCATTCATTTTCCAGCGTCGCTTAGTTAAGTTCGCAGGGAGGCGCACGCGGGTCGAAATCGGAATCGGATCCCTCCACGGACTTGGAGTTGTTACGACTGTTGTTTGTGGTTTTTTTTGTATCTCCTTAAACAGAAGGAAAGTAAGTGAGTGTGGTATTTGTGCGCGTTTGTTTCAGTCATTGGGGGCTTTGAACTGCGCCATGCGTTCAACCGCCCTCTAGTGCGTTTCGTTTTGTTTCGGGCTTCGTGCAACTCCAAAGTGCCAAAGTGTTGTCATTATCGCCAGCGTTTTGCTTTGCCCGATAAGTGTTTTCCCCCGCCGCAAGCAGTGAATCGCCCTCAGCCCTCGGTCCCCCTCACCAAAGGGGCAATCAGTTATTGTTCCGCCGCCGCTCTAATGAACGTTGAACTGCAAATTGCAAAAGCGTACGAAAATAAAAAACAAACGGCAAAATTCGCTCTCTTTGGCAAGACATCCGCGTCGCTGGGGTGCATTCACCTCTGCTGTGCTCTATCTTGTGGCTGCCTATCGGGAGATCATGTAAGTGCTCTGTGCTGAAAGAGAAATGGGGAGCGAGAAGCGGCTAAGTAACTGCGCCATTTCTGCTGCGATTCGAAATTGAAAATTTGCATTTAACACAAACAACTGTTTCTGCCAAAAACGATGGTTGCATGTGTGTATGCATGGGAATATGGGAACGACTGGATGTTGAGTTGGCAGAATTACTGCTACGTTACTGCTTTGTTATATCGTTTTTATTGAATAGGAATAGGCAGAGAGGGGGTTTCTAAGTTGCCAGCGCAGCACATGGCCATATTTGCGAAAACTGAATTCTTAAATTTAAATTTAAATTCTTACAGGAAGCAGAATGGTGGGAAAACAAGCAAAGTGAACCCAAAAGCCTATCGAAAACGAAGACGTAGAAGTGAGTCGTGCATATGCAGTGAATGCAAAGCGAAAGTCAGCTGAGCTTTTCCCTCTTCTTTTCCACTGCACACAATTTAATTTGCATTACTTGGGACATTTAGCTTGCTTGCTTTTAGCTCGCCTGTCTTCCATTTCCAGTTTCGTTTTCGTTGCCATTCTCATTCCCATCGCACATATTGATACGGAGATGCATTTACATAAGGGTGCGTGTGCGTGTGAGCGTGGCCAGCTCATTAATTTTATAGACCATTTTGCGCAATGTGGCACACACATTCGCGATCAATTGACACACATACTCATACTCGCACTCCTTGCCAATGGCCCCCAACATACATACATACTCAACACACGCACACGAGTGCAGCAGCAATGTATTAGCATTTCTCATCAAAAAGCTGCTCTCTGCACTCTGCCGACGTCGCCGCTGCTACGCCGGCGAGGTTAAGAAACTTTTGGGGTTTAATAACATTGCACAAGGTTATTAGATAAAAAATGTGCTCGCCACAACTGCGCGAGAGAGCTAGGGCTCCCGTCTCCCGCTCGTCTTCCTGTCGTCATTCCCATTCCCATTTGCATTTTCATTTCCATTCCCGGACTCACTTCGGTCGAGATCGGAACGCCTCGTACGCGAGCTTCCAGCGAAAATGGGTTGGTCAGGGGAGCGACAGGAGGGTCATTATTTTTAGGCCCTGGATACACACATGTGGGCCCACATTTTTGTGTATTTTTCGGGACTGCCAAATTTTTTGGCCGTTGATCTTAAGCGTTCTTTCTGCTGTTGCTTCTGTGGGTACTTAATGTCAATGCATTGTTGGGTGCGAGTGTGCGTGTAGTGCGGTTAGGGGGCGGGAGGGGCTGGGGTTCAATGCGCATCTGGCTCATCGAGTGTACACATTTACTTTTTGTGCCCATTATTCGCAGCACTTTTCGTCTCTGTTTTGTATTTTATTTATTTTTATATTTTTTTTCTGCTTTGCGAGCACAGTCTGCAGTATGGAAAAAGGGTAGGCGACGACCAGGTGAGTTATGTGGGATACAAAAGGGAGGCGGGTCACTGTCTCAGTCACGGCCATTATCACAGTTTGTCACATTTACCGTTAATCAGTCCGCTCCTTGTGTCATAGCTGATAAAAACCGAATCTACAACGGTTTATATAAGAAGATACTCTTTTCCCCCTGTTCCTAACACGTCCCGTGAAAGTCGAGAACCTATTCACTTGAAAAAATGTCAACGAAAGTGTAGGAAAAAAAAAATGAAAAATTAACCGACAAATGGATGGAAGCAACCCCTTCCGCCTGTTTTTCGCGGGCTGTCCTAGTCCCCACAACTATGCACATGATACTCATGACCAACTGACTGACTGAGCCAGCAGAGCATAAATAAGCAGAAAGTGGCGACAGAGGCAGAAGAATGGGGAGTGCCGGCAGAGGAACACGAAGCGAAGAAATGATGGGTCTTCATTTCGATTTGCTTGTGCTTGGGCAGAAATAGAAACATCGCGAATGGAGCAGAAGTAAGTAGGAGATAAAAAAAGAAGAATATAGATCGGAGAATGGGAGGGGAGGGGAGGGGAGGGGAGGGAGAGGGGAAAGGGGAAAGGGACGGAACAAGAGGAGAAGTGGAGTGAAAAGGAGTTATCTCCTAGTCTTTGTGCCTGTGTCATTTGTTTGTCTATCCGGCTTTTGGCCTTGGAGTAACCGTTTCCGAGAACTCTCTGTGACCGCCACCACCCCCCGCTCTCCCCAGGCGATTGTTAGTATGTCTATAGCGATAACTATGCACTTTGTCTGTCTCTCGATTTCGCTTTTCCTTCTGCTGTTGCTGGTGCTATAGCTCTTCTCCGTATTTGCTTTGCAACCCCTCGCAACTTGCGGTGGCCTTGAATGGCATCATCGTTGCGTGCTGATTATGATCATGATCATGATCACCATTTGTTACTGCGTCTGTCTGAAGGCGAATGCATTTGTGGCTGTGCTGTCCTGCAGCCAAACAAGTGCTCTGTGCTAGAACATGAGTCACGGTAACTGGAACTGGAACTGCAAGCGTAGGAAACAGCTTGCCTGCGTGCTTTGTCCACTGGTGAGTGACTCTCAATTGGCCGCAGTTGTTGATTCCAGTTGATTGGGCTCCAAGGTTAACGGAAGTGCTACTGGTCGGTCTGCTGTTCTTGTGTATGCTTCTTGTTGCCCGCCATAACTTCGTCGCCAACTTTGCAGCAGCGACCGACTTCTGTCACTTAGATTAACTGTAAATGGTACGCCTATCCCCCGTTTCGGAAGCCCTGCAACTTCGCTCTTACTGTTACTGTTACCCACGAGGTTCCTGGAACTGGAGTGAGTGCTTGTACTTATGCTTTGTGCCCTTTCTGCTCTGCATTCGCTGCGACAGCAGCAACATTTGCAATGGCAGCGGCAGCGGCAACAAAAAGTTATGCGCCGACAACCTTGAATGTCGGCCAGTCGCACACACAGATGGCCAACACACAGACAGCACGCAGACAGCGTCTAGTCGGGGCCACCAGTTTGGCGAGTCTCCTCTTGTTTTCCGTTTCTAGCATCCAGTCAGCCAGCCACCGCATTCGCATCCCGAGCTCCAGAGCACGTCCCACGTGTGTATGCCACCTCCACTCCCCCTCCCTCGTTTTCGTCGTCCGACTCCGTCTCTAGATTGTGTCGTTTTGTGTTTTTTCGCTCTTTCATTTTGCTAGGCACGCTTGGATGGCTGCCTGCAATTTTCATTCAGTTTTTCTCTCGTCGCGCGACTTTCCCACCCCGCCCCCACAGCTCAATGCTTGCTCCTCTCCTTTTCTCCCTCGCGTTGCAGGAATGCAGAAAAATGTGTTAGTAGAGTAGTTGCCATTACGTCACCTTGCTGTGTCTGTGTACACGTGTCCATGTGCGTGTCCGTGTGAGTGTATGGGTACTGGTCTTTGTGTCTTCCAGATTGGGAATGGTTGAGGATGGTGGAGGATGATTGTGGATAGAGATAGAGATGGGGCTGGAGTGTTGTTATCGCTTGGCTGACTTGTCTGGGTCTGGGTCTCGGTCTCGGTCGCCCTAACAACTGACAGAAACGAGTCAGAGACAACGACTGAGGCTGAGTCTGCGGTAGAGGACTCTGGCGCTATCACCTCAAATTCATGAGAAGGTGGAGGGGGAGGCGGTCGGAACTCCAAAGCCGAACCGCTTGGGTGCATATCTGTCTGGCCAATTGGCCCTAGTTGATGTCCCATTTTTCGCTTTACCCCACCGAAAGCGAAAGTTGAAACGGGTTTCACGTGACTTACCTGGCGTAAAGCTAATCCTGAGAGTTCCTGAGACCGATTTCGATCGAACCTGACTAGGCGTGAGTGGGTTGCATGGGCAGGAGCAGCAGCAGGAGCAGTCAACAAGGATATAACAAGTAACAAAAACAGAAAAAAAAAGAAGCGAGCTGTTTGGAGTTTGCACATTGCGCGAGCGATTTACGGTTCTCAATTTCCAATTTACGATGAGCGATGAGGATTTGCGATGGACTGCCACACCACGTTTGCTCGGTGCGACGCTGAACAGCAAACTGCAGTTTCGGGCTGGCTTTCGATCTTACCCGAGGTTTGCTGGGCTGGCCTTCGTGAGCGGCCGAGTACAGATCCTCAGCTGCCATTGCCTTTGCCTTGCCATGCCTTGCCTTGGCCGTAAGCTTCACGAAGCGTCCGACTGCAGCCGAAGAAGCGGAGAATGGCGGAGCAGCGGAGAAGTCGAACAATGCAGTGGAAAGGGGAGTGGAAGGGGAGTCAAGGGGGTAGACGAAGAAACGGGGAAACAAGAGACGCTACAGACGCTATTGTGCTGCCCTGCTTCCTGCAGTGCATCTGTACCTGTGTGTCTTGTATGTAGATGCACCGAAAATTTGTGACCTGGGACTGGTACGTTTTTTTTGTGACTTCATCGAAGTGCTAATGAACCAAACTCAGGAAGAGAGTTAAATGCAGAAGGCGGAGCGGACAAAGAGAACCAGCGGGCAGCTGCATTGGACTGCCTCGCATGAGGCAAATGTCCTTCTTAGGGATCGGGGCCATTCGAATCAAATTTCAGTGCGTATCTGTACCTGCATCGATGTGGATGTATATGGCTGGCTGGCTGGCTGGCTGATGCACTTTATCGCACACATGCACATCAGCAGGCAGATACTTAGTCCTCAAATGATCGAGGAGCTTCCAGCACATTAATGTTGAGAAGGGGATCCTCCCGCAGGATATTAGTGGGGTAACCTTACCTGACGGCTGTGGTTGTGACCTCGTTCAGCAGGCGCATCACCGCTCACTGCTTTGCGGCATTGGTAGACCATATGGGTGCACACTGTTTATTCACTTGAACTTTGTGGCTTCCTTTTTCTCTGCTCCTGATTCTTTGTCTGAAGGTGAAGGAGGCGCAGAACGCGGGCGAATCGCGCACTAAATTGCCTTCTCGGGTTGCTTTATTCAGGAATCGAAATCCTAGGTCTTTGCTTAGGGCTGCACTTGGCAAAAAAATGTTTAAAAAAATATAAAAGTCTGTCACATCCCCGTGTGGATTGTGGGTCTGGGGGGTGTAGGGATGTCTAGGTGTCTGTGTGCCGCACTAACGCTATTCAATTCGAGTTCAAATTTATAAATAAAAATTGAAATTGTGCGTTTGGGCTGAACTAACTTTAGTAACTGAACCGATCGAATTAAAAAGCTCAACTGAGTTCCGAAAAAATGCAGTTAAATGTGTTGGGCTTGTGCCCCTGCCCTCTGCTAGTGTGCGAGTGTGTGTGCCTGTCCAATTGAATCAGAGAATTGCCTGCGCGAGTGTATGTGTGTGTATACTTATGCCGCTTCGTATGTTTCATTCGCTTTTTTACTTTTTGCCTTTTTCTCGCTTTTTTGTTATATACTTTTCGTGCGATTGTGTGTTTCTTTCGCTTTTTTGGAGTGCAGCGACGCCGACGGCGGCAGCACTGCGATGCGATCGCTGCAGTTTACAGCGGCAGCGCAGTCGCCAAAAAACGATCAATTTCTGCGCATGCGACGACAGCGGAGCCGAGCGAAAATAGCTTTTTTCGGGGTTTCGTGGTTCTGTGTGTGGGTGTTTTTGTATTTTGTGTTTTGTGGTATTGCCCATTCAGAAGTTTTGTTTTTTTATTGCCAGGCCGAACCGAAAAATTGGGGGAAATGCAGAGGCGAAAAGTGTCGTTGTCACCCAGCGAATCAACGAGCGCCACCCACACACCGATGGAAATGTTTGCTCTGCTCGCGAATCGCTCCGTTCAGCAGATCAGCAGCGGCAATTTGTAAATATGGGGAACATGCAACTTTCGCGGTACACGCACACACGCACACAAAGTAGCGATCGTAGCGCTTATCAGCAGCGTCGTCGTGCGTCTTCGGCTCGCACATACCCGCTCCCCTCGGCGACGATCTCCCCGGAGGTTCCAATTGAAAGTGTAGCCCACATTTTAAGCCCCAGCCCCAAACCAAAGCCAAAAACTCTTGGGAGTCGGCCTGTTTTCGCATTTGTTTTTAAGCCCTTCCGCTTCTACTCCTCTTTTCCCTCCGGCACCTTTTAAAATTGCAATTTTTGCTGATGTTGACGAAGACTTGTTTAATATTTTGGTTACCATTACCGCACTTTATTACATGGCTCCCCTGTTTGCCATAACCCAGATTCCCACTCTACCGTCCCTAACCCTCGCACTATGGCACGCACAAAGACTTAAGATTGAAGACTGCAGAGTGCAGAGCGAAGATTGCTGGCCCTGAGGAGACTGCGGAACTGGGAGACCGAGAAATCGAGCAACTGAGACTGAGAAACTTGTTGCCACTTGCATGTCGTTTGGACATTTTTTTCCCATTTTTTTTTTTTTTTGGTTTCTGCTCATTGTTTTTGCTGCATTTTTATTTTACTGCTGCATCCTCTTGTTGTTGTCGCTGTTTTTTTGTGGGCTTTTTTTTAGATTCATGCGTGGCGATTTTGGTTTTTTAATTCTGCTTGTCTCGCACTTGTGCTATCATTTTTCAAGAATTATTGTTTTGTTAAGATTTCCCCAGCCCGTCCCGCTGTCTGCTGCCCTGTCTGCAGTGACCTCTTGCCGATTCATAAACGAATAAACACTTATAAATGTATCTACACGTACATAAGTATCCATAATATCTTTATTATCGCGTCTCGTTCGGTTTATGGCAGTTTCAAGATCACCGCACATGTCGCCGAGTCACAGATTAGCCCGAAGGAGGGAGTTGTGCTGGCAGGAACCACCGTACCGCCCTTCTAAGCTGCGTTCCTTTGTTGGGTGCTTTGCAATTTCAACCGGTATTGTCGGAGACCTCGTCAACAACCTCTCGGCGTAGACGTCCGCGGCAACGCAGGCATTAAGCAGCAGGCGGCACTGCGAAGGCGAAATGATCACATTGAACTTGTCGCCGTTTGTTCTAATTGGAGCTGCAGTGGGTTAGTCACTCGTACAATCTGGCTCACGCACTCGTCATTTGCTTTTGCCGGCGTTCCTTCTCGCTGATTCGTTCGGTGAAGGCCTAGCGTGCATTGCCCGCCGCTAATGAACTAGCAGCGCGGGCGTATACTTAATTTGCAAGGAGGTCAACGATGAAACCGCCACCGACAGCGCGTTAGAGATCGTCCCGCTAGCCCTAGGCTGTTGTTTACAGGAGAAAAGCTGTGATCAGGTTCAACGCCCGCGATCCAGTCTCTGCCGTTTCGGAAACAAGTTGTTCCAGTGAACGTAGAATGAGGGATCAAAGCGCGAGAGAAGTGTAAACAATCATATAATGGATAATGAAAGGTGCCATATTTTGCATACGAAAATAGGCAAGTGCAGAAGGTTGTTTCGGAATGCGAATCTTGGAAGTTATTATAATTTAAATTTAAACGTATTATAGTTTAAGTATTTGTAAACCGTTCGATAATTGTGTTAGCGGATAGAAAGTCATTGGGATTAGAAAAACGTTAAAGAAAAATTGTTGTGAAATCATTATAATTTAAAATGATAAGCACAAATTTTATATTAAATAGAATAAATTAAAAAACACTATATAGGTAAATTATTTTTGTTGAATATCCAGGCGAAGGAAGACTGTAATTATGTTGATATCTTTGAGATTGAAAATCGAATTAACAGGAATATACTACAATTTTTCTGGGTGAACATTTTTACACGAAATAAAGACTAAATAACTTACTAAAGAAAAAAAAATACATATATAAATTACCACATTTATTGTTGTTTTGCTGTAAAGTATTTATTTCGTGTAAAAATATTCAGCTAGAAATATAGTGTCAGTGCGTAACGTTAACGTATATAGTTGAAAGTGCCAAAAAATACAAACTAGGAAAGTGTGAAAAAGAGAGTAGACATTAATTTGGCATATTACATTCTCCTACAAAAGGTTAACAAACCTCGAAATCGAAAGCTGCCTGTAGTCAAAATATTCCTTTGAGACGATGACACTAGTCATTAAATATAATCAGGGTCCATGGCAGAAGTATCAAAATCTGGGAGCTGGAAAAATTGTCCCCAGTGATTGAAATAAAAGAACACCTAAGACAAGACATCTAAAGACATCTAAATATGTTTTTCACTTCCTGAGCCCCAAATGTTATTTTGGACCGCACTTACATGTCTGCTGGAGAGTGATCCATCGGTTAAGCCACGTGCATCGCCTGCAGCTCAGGCTCCGCTTTAGCAATCCAGGTCCGGCTGGAACTCGGGCTGCTCTTCACTCTCACTTTCACTGATGCAGTTTGTCAGAGTTTCTAGTGCGGTTGCTCGCTATTCTATTCGTGTGCGGAATCGGTTTGTTATGATTGGTTGTTGATTTGTCCTCGGATCGGCTATGATATCACTTGGTTTGGTGTGTTCCTACTTCTTAGACTGGCCTTCACTTTGATTAGATTCGATATATTGCACAACTTGTCATTGACACTGGGGATTCGCCTTTCTGCGCTTCACTAAACAAAAATGAAAACAATCAACAAACAGCGCGGCGATGGTCGAAATTCCGAAAATCCTGATATGCTGTTATTACCGTATTAACTAGCACTGGAAAAAACTAACAATAGGGCAAAACAATTCACGTAGTTTTCCTTGCATTTGTGTCTTGGTATCTGATTGGAGTTAAACTGGGACTTCAGTTGGTTTCAGTTTTCGTTGGTGCCTGATGGTTTTTGGTCCGCGTCGCAGCACGCGCACGTAACGAGCAACAAACAGCAACTAACGTTATTTTTAAAACCCAACTCGATTGAAGTCCAAGTCGAAATCGCACCGGCCCAGGGCCGCCGGCAGCGACGCGGACCGAGGCAGCAGCCGAGGCAGCGGCAGCGGCGGCAGGACCAAGGCGATGCCGATGTCAGCCGACAGACGAAGGTGACCCGAAGTCGCTGCAGGACGAAGAATGCGGGTGCGACGCCGACGGAGCTTTGTTTTGGTGCCCAAATTGAAGCTGCTAAATCTGGAGCTGCGCGACCGTAGTAAGTTTAGCACACAATTGAAGTCATTATACACGCACACAGTCAAAGACAGGAAAAATATAGCGCCAAATGCTATGCTACGTTTCGTTGGCCGTCCGCTCTTTGCACTCGCTCGCTTGCTGCCGACTAGCTACTGCACTGGACCAGCGTTCAATGTCCGTTGTCCGCTGTTCGCTGTCCCTGCTGCCCTTCACTTGATCCCCACCTTGCTGCTCTGCCGCAGCGCTGCCATAAAAATCACCCGCCAAACAACGTACTAAACACTCATTACTCATTTTGCTGGCTCGCTCCCTCTCCCGCTGCCCGCAGAAGCTCCCACCCTCCCTCGGTAGCAGCAACTACTTACACACCGGCACACACTCTCTCACAGAGCCAGCGAGCGACACGCACACGGACAGGACGAAGTTTGCTAATTTTTTCAGCGTGTAACGTTAAAAAAAGGATGCGACTGCGGAGCCGGCCGCGGCTGCGACGCCGGCGAAGGCAGCGCCTGGCAAAAAGGAAAATCAGAAACAAAACAAAAATGCGAAAAACGAACGAAAAATGCTAAAACCGAAAGCGGCAGCGTAGCAGCAGCTGAAACAAAAAGTGAAAAAAGAAAAAACAACATCGGGCGAAAAAGAAAATCGGAAAGAGGAGGATAAGAAGAAGCAGCGGCGGCAGCAGCAGGAAAAAAGAGTCAGCGCTCACGTATGAGCGCCTGTGTGAGTGCGGCGGTGGAAAAAATCCACATCCATCCACAACCAACCCCACTGCATGCTGCGGCCTCTCCTAGGCCCAACCCATCCCCCCGCGCTGAAACACAACAGCACAGCAGCACACATACTAGCAACCCCCGTGCGATGCCGGCAGCAGAGGGAAATTTAAAAACGCGTTTACACGACGACACGAGAGTAGAGCGCGCGCAAAAAAACGCAAACGAAACGAAAAATGTAAAATAAAAAATGTTTAAAGCAAAAAAATAAAAAGAACTCCCACACACACACACACGTGCGTTCTATAGAGGAGAACTACGAGCCGAGCTTCCGCAGTCGCCATCTCAAAAGGGGAAATCGACGCACAAAAATAACCAAGCGAATAAAAAGGATGGCGTGCGTGAGTGTGTTGGTGCCGGAGAACGTGTGCGTGCGATTTTAAAATTTTAATTTGTTGTCTTTTGGCTCTGTCCCGCTCTGGGTCCTGGCGCACTACCTCTCTCAAT